GAAAAGAGAAGAAGATATGGGTATGGAATGAAAAAGGAATTGAGCATTATTAAAAAAAATATTGGAAGTGGAATTTAAAGAAGAAGGAACTGAAAAGAAAATGGAAGAATCAAAAAGAGAAATTGAAAAAGCAGCCATAAGAAAAGAAATTGTAACGAGAAATTTAGAAAAGAGAAACAGATGGTGGGATAGCAGATGCAGAGATTTAAAAACAGAAGCAAGGAAATGTTTACGTAGTTGGAAAAAGGGGAAAGGTATAAAAGAAGAGTACTGGCAAGCAAAAAATAATTATAGAAAACGATGCAAAGAAAAGAAAGAAGAGATACAGCAAGAAGAAGAAGAAAAAATTAAAGCCATAAGAACTGAGGAAGAGGCATGGTAGTATATAAATAAAGAACGGAAGAACAGAAGCACGATTAGTGAAGACATACCTATAATACAGTGGAAGAAGCATTTTATGGAACTGTTGAATGGAAAGGAAGAGAGAATTGTAGCGCAAGATAGTAAAACCGGGAATGGTGGTAGAGAAAGGGAGGCTGAGATTCGAGTAGAGGAAGTAGGAAAACAAGTAGGAAGACTGAAAAGAGGAAAAGCACCGGGGAGGGATGGGTTGGTAAACGAAGTGTGGATATTAGGGACGGATGGGATGATTGAAAGATTGAGCGAGTTAATGAATGATATGTGGACATGTAAAGGTTTTCCCAGGGAATGAAGAGTAGGGCAAATATGTCCAATTCATAAAAAGGGTAATAAAGAAGAAATTGAGAATTATCGGAGAATAACTCTCCTAAATACGACATATAAACTGTATAAAAAAGAGTATATTACCGGAAAGTCAAGCGGGATTTAGAAGAGGTAGAGGGGCTATGGACAATGTATATATGCTGCATCATCTAATAGAAAAATAGTTGCTAAAGGAAGGAGGTCGGGTATATGCACTGTTTGTAGACCTAAGAGCTGCGTTTGATACGGTGGACAGAGAGTGTTTGTGGGAATGCATGGAGAGAAGAGGATTGAGTGAAAAGTTAATTGCAGCAGCAAGAGAGATCTATAGAGAGACAGTGACTAGCGTGAGAGTGCGAGGAGTAGAAAGTGAAATGTTTTGGATGACGAAAGGATTGAGACAGGGATGCCCATTAAGTCCCAGTCTGTTTGCTTGTTACAGAAGCGATATCGAGGAAATGTTTAGAGGAGTACAAGCGGGAGGAATTGTGGTGGGGAGAGAAAACGTATGGTGTTTGGCATTTGCAGATGATTTGGTAATATTGGCGAAGGATGAATGTGGAATGAATGAGATGAAAAAAAATCTGCAAAGATACTTTAAAAGACAGAAACTGGAGGTAAATGTAGAAAAAACAAAAATGACGGTGTTCAGAAAAAAAGGGAGAAAAGGGGAGGAACAAGTGTGGCGTTGGGAAGATCGAATCATAGACACAGTAAAGGAGTTTAAATATTAAGGGGGAGATTCTCGAAAGTCGATAAGGCCTTGCAAGGATCTGCAAATTCAAAACCATAGCAACATGTATTGTTGTTGCATTGTATTTGCAGTTTCGATAGCGATTTGCAACTTATCGGAGTTTCCAGAATCTCCCCCTTAGGATTTAAGTTTACAACAATTAACACGGTAAAAGCACACACAAGAGAAAGAAGGGTCAAAGCAATGCAGATAATGGGAATGGTGTGGAGTATATGTGAGAGAATACTTGGACATGACGTAAGAAGAAGGATGAAAATGTTTGATAGTTTAGTTAGGAGTGTATTAATGTATGGAGTGGAGATATGGAGATGGAAGGAATATGCAGAGATTGAAGCAGTACAAGAAAAATATTTGAGGTGGATGTTAGGGCTACGGAAAGAGACGCCAGGCTATATAGTAAGAGATGAATGTAGACAAGAGAAATTAAGAGTATACACTGGGAAAATAGCTGTAAAGAATGATGAAAGGTTGAAAGAAAGAGAAGAATGTAGGATATTGTGTGAATGCTTGAAGGAAAAAAAAAGGAAGCAGGGAAAGAACATCACAAGGGTAGGCAAGGATATTATGAAAGACTGGGATACGCATGGATGGAAATAGAGAGAAAGAGAAATGGGGGTGAGTATGAGAGAAGAGTTGTGTATGCGTCACAGAGACATAGATAAACAAGAGAGAAGAGCGAGTGTAAGTAAATCTAGGTACAATGCAGACTATAGAAAGATAATAACAGAAACAATACCAAAGTACCTAGACAGAGAAAGCGTGAAAGAAAAAAAAATAATTACGAAATTTAGGTGTGGAAATGAAGAAAGAAATAATAAGTTTTGGGTAAGCGAAGGTGAGAGAATGTGTAGGATGTGTAGAGAAGGGTGAGAAACGATAGAGCACATGCTGCATAACTGTGAGGAGAGCAAAGAAAGAGAGGAGAGTGTGACAGAGATATTGAATGAAGACGGAAGAGGGGTGGAATGGATGAAAGAAGTGGAGAGGACAAGAGTAAGGCTGGGGCAAGGGGGGATAGGAAAAAGGAAAACAATGAGTTATTTGGTTTTTAAAATGTTTCATTTGGTTTTTGTTAATTAGGAAAAAAAATTGTAGTGTTGTAAATTAAGAATCTTTTAAGCCCGTAGGGTAAAAATAAACACTTACTACTACTGTGAATACCTCTTTTGTGTCGGCTTCTTCAAAATGTAATTTTCTTTTAATTTCTCCCCTTTTGCTCGTAATAAACAAATTTCTCTCTAAGAGGTTCAACCAGTCAATCACGCCAAATCTTTTCCCCATTCTTCACAACTTGGTAAAATCATGATTTATTGCAGCATCTGTCGTGTTTTACTATTATTTTGTTTTAATTTCAAAGTCTAAAGAATTCAGAGCTTGAATTTTGAATACTTTTAATAACTCTTCTACACATTCTCATGCCAAGAATTTTGGATCTTGTAAATCGACTAGTTTGATACTAATAGTCTGGTGTTTGAAATTCTGAAGATAAATCTTCTGTAAGTTGCATTCGCGTGGTCTAGGAAAGCATTCTACTACTGCAGTATTTGTTGTCTTATATGTTAGGGCAATTCCTAAATCCAAGATCTCAACCTTATTGGTTCACTTAAAAAAAAAATCCGAAAGAGACTTTTCGCCCTTGACTAGATCTACTGCGGGTTGATTACTATTGCTGTCATCATTATGCTCTTCATTTTTCATTTTAGAAAACTCGCTAGACACATGCTGGGGCACAATTGGCGACCAAACCCTCTATTGTCACTCTTATGACGTTTTTCGGGAAAATTCTTTGAACAGTTTTTTCGCTTCTTGTCCTCCTTGGTTTTTTGAATAGACAAGAAAAACAGGTAAATTCTGATCGTACTGAACATTAAAGAATAACTATCTAATAAAATACCTAAATCTTTAGGTAATGAAGAGATTTTGGATTTTGATTATACTACCATTAATACAGTACATTGGCACTGATAAAGTTAATTTGCCACTAAAATTATCCTCAAAATATTTGTCATAATTTAAAACCATTTGATTCACGGTACCCCAATCGAATAATATACCAAGAACATCCTGTAAAAGTTTGACATCATTTAAATTCTAATTATATTACGCATTATTATAACGATTTTACGATTATCAGCGAAAAGGCTATATTCAAAGGAAAATTTCGTACCAAGATCGTTCACATAAATTGAGTATAATAACGGTCTGAATGTGGAACTTTGTGGCACTCCTGAGTACACGTCGGGTACTAGACACGCAATTGTTCACTTTGACTTGACGAGTTCTACTGTGGAGATAAATTTTGAACCAATTTAGACGCGAATCACAGAAACCACATGCTGCCATTTTTTCTAATAATATAAAATGATTGATTATGTTAAAAGCCTTTCTAAAATCTGTATACACAGTGTGTGACTTTCACTCATAGCATTAATAATATTATTAACATATTTTTAAAATAAGAGAAAACATTACTACAAACTATCGATTCATTTTTGTTGGAGTCGATAAAACTGAGATAGGGTGCTAGTTATTTGTTGAAGATTTATTGCCAGATTTATGTATTGTATTATGTAATCAAAGGTTCAAGAAAAGGAAATGAATTCAAAAGAAAAAAAAAAGAAAATTTATAGAGAAATAAGGAAATAGAGAAAAGCTTTAAAGATAGAGGAAATATTATTAACAAGGAATCGACTGAAGACGAACAAATAAAAGAAACTATAAATACAGAAAACACTAACACGGCGTAAAAAGAAGAAATAACTCAAGTGATAACAACAAAAAATATAATATATAGAAGAAAGAAAAAACAAAATTAAACAAAATAAATGTGTGATCAGGAATGCTGGACAGTTTTCTGATATATAGAACCCTCTTTTTTCCATTTTCGAGGGAAGATGGATAGGGTGACGTAGACTGTTTGAATGATCAGTTTGTTGGCCAGACTTAACGCCTTTTGATTTTTGTGGGATTATATAAAATTTAAGGTCTACCTTAACAGATCGAACAGTCTGGTTGATCTCAAGAACTCAATTCAAAGAGAAATGGACAATATCACCCCAGATACCACTGAACAAGCAATATAAAGTGTTTAACACGTGCATGTACCAAATAGTTGCTGGATGGTAAATTGAACATTAAATTTAGTTTTTAGTTAATTTCTTGTTTTACTGTAGACTTTCGGATTAAATAGAATTTTTCCTCAAAAATGCTTATTTAAGGCTCCAACTTTTTTCTACGACCATTTAACTAATAAAAGGATGTATCAGAATCCGAAAGTAAAAAAAAATAAGTTACCATTAAAAAAAAATTGATGGAGTCACTATGCAAAAGCGACTGGTTACAAAAAATTAATTGCGTCAAGGAGTGTGTTTTGAAAAAATAAAATTGATCTGCCCGAGGATTTTTTGTGCAGAACTTTATCAACACTCTGTATATAATTTGGGTTAACGAGCTTTGTGTGTACAATATTTAAGATTAGATTTTGGAAGTGACAGTAAATGTTACGTAATAATAACTTTAATCAAAATAAAAATTACTCCACTAAAACTTTACCACACACACCTAGTCGTTGAAATTTAAATATCGCGAATACGCGATTCAAATAACTAGCAAATTATTTAAGAAAATTTACAAACACTAAATCGTGGTCAAAGTCCAGTCAATTTATAACACGTAAACAAGTTAGTAAACATTACACTAATCTTTGCTGCTGAGAGTTTGCTATCTTACCATGGCCATGACTACACTGTTTTGGAGTATTTACGCGTGATCGTTGGTGCAAGTACAACAGTTTCTCTATTAAACTAAAAATGTTTTGCTCCGCGGAAAGCGTAATTACTCTAATAGCAATTATCGCTGTTCCTTTATATTTCTATTACGTCAAAATATACAGAATAAGAAAATTTCTAAAAAATTTTCCTTCTCCGCCGACAACTCGGCCAATATTGGGTGTTGCTCTCGATTTTCGAACACCAGGCGGTATACAAAGGTAAGTTTGGAAAATATGATGTATTAATTTATTTTCTTTTAGAATTTTTGCAAAAATTGCACGAGTATACCAAGACATGTGGTTCCATGATTAATTTACAAATTGGTCCTATCGGACAGGTTTTAGTTAGCTCCGATTATAATTTTCTTGAATTTTTGCTAAGCAGTAACAAGCTGTTAAGAAAAACTCGCAATTTAAAATTTTTGGAACCTTGGATTGGAAATGGATTAGTGCTAGCGGAAGGTAAATTTTATGTCAAATAATATCAATTGTAATTTATAAATCCCTTATTTCAACTTTTTGTTCTCTACAAGGTTCTAGATGGAAAACACACCGAAAACTTATAACTCCCGCATTTCATTTCAAAATACTGGAACAGTTTATTTCTGTATTTGAATCCGAAGGTGATGTTATGGTAGAAAAGCTGTCCACAGAAAGTGGAAATAAGTCAGTGGATATTTACCCCTACATAACCAAATGTACGCTTGAAGCAATCTGTGGTAAAATATTGACCTCCAAGACACTTAATTGTAAATTATTTTTAAAAATTTAGAAACTGCAATGGGTACCAAAGTAGATGTTCAAAACAACGAAACATCGTCATACTTCGAGGGTGTCAAAGAAATGTGTAGAATATTTGCAGTACGAACAACTTCCGTTTTTCTAGGTAATGACTTTTTCTTCAAATTTACTAAAGACTATAAAATACAGCAAGAAGCAGTGAAAATATTACACGGTTATACTAACAATGTGATTAAAATAAAGCGCGCTGAACACGAAAAAGGAAAACATGAATCTGGCGAAGTTGATGAATTAGGTAGGAGGAAGAAGAAAGCTTTTCTAGATTTAATTTTAGAAGCTAAATTAGACAATCAGTCTCTTACCGATGAAGAAATAAGAGAGGAAGTGGATACATTCATGTTTGCGGTAATATAGTTATAATAAAAAAATCTTAAGGCTTTTTTGAATTTTTAGGGTCATGATACCACTGCTACAGCGTTATCATTCATTCTTTTCTGTATAGCAAATTCCAAGGAAGTTCAAGTAAAAAGAGTGTGATTTTTTTTGTAGTCACTGTATAAAGAAATGTTTTAAAATCGTAGGATAAGATATTAGCAGAACAAGAACAATTATTTGGCCAAGATAAAAATCCGACAGTAACTTATGCAAATTTGCAGGACATGAAGTATTTAGAAAATGTTGTTAAAGAAGGTTTACGATTGTATTCTCCGGTACCCCTCTACGGAAGATTAATTGATCAAGAAGTAGAATACAGTAAGTTCATATTTAGTCTAATTAGTGAATGGTGTTTTTGACAACGTTTTAGATGGAATGGTGTTTCCTAAAAATTTGGGCGTACTGATTTTTTCACATGGTTTGCACATGAATCCAAAGTATTATCCTAATCCGGAAAAATTTGATCCCAGCAGATTTGAAAATTATGATAATAAACTCCCGTTTGCGTTTATACCATTCAGCGCAGGCCCTAGAAACTGCATTGGTAAGTTCGTTATTATATAGGTACTATTAAACAATAAATTCTCGCCCAAACTTCTTTTATCTGGCTGGAAATGAATAACTCGAGTAAAATTCATTTAGATAATTTCATGACAATAGTCAGAGAGGATCTTTCGTATTCTAAATTTGATATTAAAGGCCTTTACAAAAATAGTCTTTCGCCAGATTATGATTATTCCAGCGTAAGTAAAAACCAGTGCCGAAACCAAAGAATATTTAGGTATAGGCGAAACTTGCGTTAGGCGCCCCTCCTCTACACATAAAAATGCAATTTTACCGAACAGTTTTATTTATATTTTTTAATAACTACGCAAAACAGATACTATGATAAAATATAAAAAAGAAAAAAAATCGAGATTATATATATAGGTATATAATATGTATAAATTCTATATAAGTTCAAAATACAATTAACATTAAAAAACCTGTCGCACCGGTTACACGTTTCTAAGTTTCCGTTCAAAATAGAAAAAGAATAATATAACATAACTCTTGGTATAGTTTTGGAAATTTCATTCCACCCTATAAAATTTTATTGACGATAACGAGACGGACAGTAGTACAATGGTAAGGAATATTTATGGCTCACACCAGTTCACTCGAATTTGTCTGAGAACATTTGCCAGGTAGTTGTACTCATAAAATAATGGTCATTTCTGTTCATGAGTAACGAATAACGATGGTCCCTGCCCGGACTTGGATTATTCTGGTTTCTAACATCTGGGGATTATCGGCTCGCGACAACTTAAGTTGTAAATATCTCTTGCTATTGTACTACTGTCCATCTCGTTATTTCCAATAAAAGTTTATAGGGTACAATGAAATTTTCAAAATTATACAACATAATTTTTGGACGAATTTGGCGCCCCTTGTCGTTGGCGCCCCTAGGCAAGGGTCTACTCGGCCTATAGCTAGTTTCGGCACTGGTAAAAACATCCTTATTATTAAATCTGTTAGCGAAAAAGACATTTTTAATTCTATAAAAAAGCTGAAACCCTCGTTAGTAAGTGGTCTAGACCAAATTCCAGCATTGATTATGAAGGACTGTGCAAATGTTTGTACACGGTTGTGTTAAAGGAAGGTTACAGTTTTTATCTGAGACTTTAGATAATAATAGTCAGGCGGATGTTATGTACGAAGATTTCTCTAAACCTTTTGATAAAATTGACTATCGTCTATTGTTAAAGAAATTAGAGCTTTTTCGTTTCTCGGATTCCTTAATGTTATTAATGAAATCATATTTAAATAAGCGAGCTCTCTTTGCTACTGTTAATAGTTCCAAATCAAAGTCCTTTATTCAGCAGTCTGGAGTACCCCAAGGCTTTGCTGAGGTGATTGATGTTTATTCTCTTTAATTTGCCGATCACCTTAAGATCTATTGTGTTATTGAATGCTATGATGACTGTCTACTAGAGATGTACCGACTACAGTCGGCCGACTGTTTATAAATGCAACAGACAGTGGTTTTTTTTTTCTATTTCTCTGACTACTTGTTTTATTTTAATAAAAAGATTAACTGAAGTTTCTTTTTTTTCCAAAAAATGTGTTAAATTTTTTTGGATAATTTTAACATTTAATTTTTTGTAGTAACTCAGTACAAAAATAAAGAATAACACAATTTAGGGCAGTTTATACAATACTTAACCAATTTTAACCACTTTTTTGGAAAATTTTTGGAAATTTTGAATTCGCTTTGCGTGTTTATTGGACCATATATCGTGACGGCGATTTCAGAATCGTAACTAGCGGAAGATTATCTACACTTTGACACCAATTTTCGGTCGATTAAACTAATTTTAACCGGTTTTGACAAAGCCGACTAGTCGGCCGACTGCAGTCGGCACATCTCTACTGTCTACGTTTGCAACAAAGCATTGATAAAGACGAGTAGTGGAGCAGGAAAACACCCTGATATGGATTTGGGGAAGAGTTAACACCCATAAAATTGAGAATCCAGAATCCAGAATCCAAACCTTTCAATGGTGTGTAGATAACAATGATAAATGTTATCTTATATGACACTCAGTCGAGTAATTATAATTAGGGACATAGAATTTAATTATAATGTTGATAACAGAATCCGTAAAAGACCTGACATTGTACGTGATCTTGAAGTTATATTTGATCTTAAATTTTCATTCGGCTTGCACATTGAATCTACTGCCACATCAGCTTGTCGTCTGGGTTTTGTTATTCGTAATGGACGTGAATTCAATGATGTTGAACGTCTCAAATTGTTGCACATAACTTTTGTTAGATTAAGTCGAAAATACGCTTCTGTTGTGTGGTCATCACCGTATAATATTTGTATAGCCGCTCTTGAAAAAGTCCAACGTCGATTTCTAAAATCATTAGTATTCTTCAGTGATAACCTTTATCTTCTTCCCACAAAATCTGTTGCTAAATACATTCAAAATATACCTGTTAATGTGCCTTCGTAAACGTCACTCAGTATTGTTTTTATACAAAATCTTGCATGGTCTTCAGGAGTGCCCTGATCTTTTGCGCAACTTCGGTCTGAAGGCAAGTAGAATAAGCGCTCGTACTAAAAACGTATTTAATTTTATCGTTCTTCCTATTGGTTCACCATTATCACAGATGTTGCGTAACCACATTGAGATTGAGGCTGATATTAATATAATAATATATTTAATTACACACCTCGAGTTGTTAACCAAAATTTTACTTCTTTGTAACTTGGTATTTTTTGTTTACTTCTTTTGTTTATTTCTTTCTGTTCTTCTTTTCTTATTTTCCTTGTCCTCAATTTACGTTTCACCTGTTGGGCATTGAACTATTAATAATAATAATAAACTGCGAATGGGGACTTAATAACAGGCCATGCTGTTATTGCAGATATGTTTGAAGCTACCTTTTGTAATAAATACACAAAGAAAATATTTACTAATTTCCCAACTCTTACTAGGCAGTCTTATAGGGATCAATTAAATAATATTCAATTTTCTAAAGCAGAACATCAAAACGCTCAAATCCTCAGAACGCCACAATCTTCAAATCCTCAGAACACCATAATGCTCAAATCCTCAGAACACCATAATCTTCAAATCATCAAAACACCTTAATCCTCAAATCATCAGAAGACCAGAATCCTTGAAATCTCTTCAAACCTCAAAAATCCTCAAATATTCAGAACCCCATAGTCCTCAAATTCTGAGAACTCCATAATCCTCAAATCCTCAGAACAGCGAAATCCTCAAATTCTCAGAACTCCATAATCCTCAGATCCTCAGAACATCAAAATCCTCAAATCATCAGAACACCAGAATCATCAAATACACAGAAAATCAGAATTTTCAAATCCTCAGAATACTATAATCCTCAAATCCTCAGAACACCAGAATCATCAAATGCTCAAAACACCATAACCCTCAAATACCCAGAACACCAGAATCCTAAAATCCCCAGAACACCTTAATCCTCAAATCATCAGAACACCATAATTCTCAAATCGTCAAAACACCAGAATCCTGAAATTCTAAGAACAACGTAATCTTCAAAATTTTCAGAACACCAAAATCCTCAAATTCTCAGAACTGAATAATTCTCAAATCCTTAGAACACCATAATCCCCAAATTCTCAAAATACCATAATGGTCAGATCCTCGGAACTCCATAATACGCAAATCCTCAAAACACCATAATCCTATAATTGTCAGGATTTCATAATCCTCAAATTCTCAGAACGCCAATATTCTCGAATCGTCAGAATAGCGAAATCCTCAATTCCTCAGAACTCCATAATCCTCAAATCCTCAGAACTCCATAATCCTCAAATCCTCAGAACTCCATAATACTCAAATCCTCAGGACACCAAAATCCTGAAATCCCCAGAACACCAGAATCCTCAAATACCAAGAACACCATAATCCTTAAATCCTCAGAACACCATAATTCTCAAATCGTCAAAACACCAGAATCCTGAAAACCTCACAACAACGTAATCTTCAAATCTTCAAAACTCCATAGTTTTCAATTCTTCAGAACTTCAGAATTCTTGAAATCTCTTCAAACCTCAAAAATCCCCAAATACTCAGAACACCATGATCCTCAGATCCTCAGAACTCCACAATCCTCAAATCCTCAGAACACTACAATCCTCGAATACTCAGAACACCAGAATCGTCAAATGCTCAAAACACCATAACCCTTAAATACCCGGAATACCAGAATTCTCAAATCCCCATAACACCATAATCCTCAAATCCTCAGAACACCATAATTCTCAAATCGTGAAAACACCAGAATCCTGAAATCCTCAGAACAACGTAATCTTCAAATCTTCAAAACACCATAATTTTCAATTCTTCAGAACATCAGAATCCTTGAAATCTCTTCTAACCTCAAAAATCCTCAAATACTCAGAACACCATGATCCTCAGATCCTCAGCACACTATAACCCTATAATTGTCAGGACTTCATAATCCTCAAATCCTCAGAACGCCAATATCCTCAAATCGTCAGAATAACGAAATCCTCAATTCCTCAGAACTCCATAACCCCCAAATCCTCAGAACTCCATAATCCTCAAATCCTCAAGACACCAAAATCCTCAAATCTTCAAAACAGCGATATTCTCAAATCCTCAGAACACCATAATCCTCAGATCCTCGGAAGTCCATAATACTCATATCCTCAGCACACCATAATCCTATAATTGTCAGGACTTCATAATCCTCAAATCCTCAGAACATCATAATTCTCAGATCCTCGGAACTCCATAATACTCAAATCCTGAGCACACCGTAATCCTATAATTGTCAGGACTTCATAATCCTCAAATCCTCAGAACGCCAATATCCTCAAATCGTCAGAATATAGAAATCCTCAATTCCTTAGAACTCCATAATTCCCAAATCCTCAGAATTCCATAATCCTCAAATCCTCAGAACACCATAATACTCAAATCCTCAGGACACCAAAATCCTCAAATCTTCAAAACAGCGAAATACTCAAATCCTCAGAACTTCATAATCACCAAATCCTCAGAACTCCATAATCCTCAAATCCTCAGAACACCTTAATCCTCAAATCTTCAGAACACCAAAATCCTCAAATCGTCAGAACAGCGTGTTAGGGAAATAATTGCAACAATGAAAAGGACCACTTCTCCTTGACCTGATGGTATTTCCACTACTGTTCTGAAAGAACATTGTGATTTCTTAGCCAGACCTCTAAGCATAATAATGACTGATTGCTTTACCTCTGGAGTATTGGAAATATGATTGGAAATTGGGAATTGTTAAGCCTATTTACGTCAAACTATCGTCCCATCAGTTTGACGTCATTAGTAGTAAAAATAATGGAAGCAATTATATGCGATAACCTTCGTCAGTTTCTTTAAACGCATAATATATTTCCAATTTAGCAACATGGCTTCGTGAGGGGTAAATCTGTGTCCACCAATTTGTTATGTTGTATTAATGATTCGTTGATGTCATCTATTTTGATTTTGCGAAGGCCTTCGATTGGGGGCCTAAAAACGCTTGACACTCAAGTTATCGCGTTACGGTATCAGATCGACTGCTTTAGTGTATTGATTCATTATATTAAGTGGGGTTCCTCGGGTTCGTTCTGGGTCCTGTTTTATTTGACATATTCTGCAGATTTAAAAAATCGTCCCCGATCTCGTTTTACGCCGATGATATTAAAAGTTATGGTAATAACCATGGAGTGATATTAAGAAAGTAATTTTGAAAAAATGGTTAATGCGTTTAAACTTGAATAAATGTTTTTTTTTTACATGTATCACCCCAATATTTGATTATTCCATTAAAAGGGTGGGGTACCTTTAGTTACAGTAAATCCTGTCTCAAATTTAGGTATAATTGACCTCTCTTGGTATTTATCGATTCATTTATTACTTTTTAATCCTCTTTTCCCCTCCAGTGGTCAAATTAAAAAACAGAGCAACTATTTCAGAGCACGCAAACTGTTTTTAAGTAAATTTCAATTTTTGACGTCGCGTCGTCTCAAATCTAACAATATCAAAGAACAAAATCCATGAGTTTTACTGTTTGGTTGTGGGTATGGATAAAACGTTGCATTGCATTCGTGTCTTAGTAGCCAGAAAACACTTATGAAAAATTAAACACTCAAACTGGGCTTCGGTGTTTAAATAATGTCGTCTGTGTTTTATTAGCCTTCTAAGACACTCATTACTCATTATACAATAATAAATAACTTAACAGCCCAAATTGCAAAAAGATTCAATAAACAATACTCGCGATATTCAAACGCTTCCTTACTTTTTAGCGATCCTGTATATTACCCGTTCAAAAATTAAAAGATCACTCAACCGACAGCATTGTCTCGATCCACCAGGAAATGTATACCTCAGTTCTAAGTTATATTAATAATAAATAATAATAATATATAATGGAATTCTAATCTTAGAGTAGCTTAAATTTTTTATGTTTGTAGGTCAAAAATATGCCATGTTGGAAATAAAAAGTATGGCTTCTAAGATTGTGAGGAATTTTGAACTCTCGCCAGCTGAGCCACGACATGATATGGATTTGTCACCAGTTACTGTACTTAAGTCTCTAAATGGTGTTCGAGTCGGCTTAAAATTGAGATAGAAGTCGACCTAGGACATATTTTCTGTTGGACAATAAAGTTAATTGCTTATTTATTTATTTATTTATTTATTTATTTATTTATTTATTTATTATTTAACTGACATTGATAATACAATATTATGTTGACCACTTAATGCGCTTCCACCAAATACGCATAAATATAAAATGATTTTGCAATCATCGTGATGTGATATATAAATGAAGTTGGCCGTAGTCTGTGACATACAGTTATGTGTATTGAACATGTATATTAATTATATAATTATAAATTAGAATAAATATGTTATATTTCGAGAGTTTAGTGTTGCTAATAAAAGATAAAGTCACCTTAATAATTAATTGTAACAACGACAGTTGTTTCTTCACACACTGAAAAGAACGAATAAAGATAGGGCAGAAACTTTTTACTTATTAATTAATTACTCACAATATTTAACACCGCTTTACTTAGCAAACAACCTAGAACATCCTTGGATTTTCTATAGGTAATCAGTTTATTAGCAGACGATGCAAATTTATTAATTTAAAGAAGATAACTTTATTTACAAAATTAACATATAACGTAAAGCCAACCGTTCCTCTTACACATACTTATTCAGTTATAAAGTGAGACTGTTAGTTTAAAATGCAGTGGTTTAAAAGAATATACTTGCTGTACTTCTTTGGCTTTCTTCTAAATTTCCGACCTATAGATCCAATTCTGTACAAATATTTTCTTGTACACAACAATCTTACAAATTATGAAGTAGGTTACAAAATCCTGCCAATTGTAACTTACAGTAGCACAGTGAATTTTGTATTGATGTTTTTTTTGTCTGGCCTTTGTTGCTTTAAGGTGCTTTTAGCAATTTCATCTGTATCTGCCATTTTGTCTACGTGTATTAGGGCCTGGAGTTACTCATACGAGGAAGTTGTACTGTCAGAAGTCAGTGAGTGTTTTTTTCTTAATTACCCCATTAAAAAATTTTTTTTAGGTATTTCGAGGAACGTCATCAGCAACAGAAATTGCCTACTACATTTACGTTTATAGTTATTACGATGTCGAACATTACCAGCGCGAAACAGCATTTGTAAGAATTTTTGCTTTATTAGGAAAGGCGCTGTCAGCAATGTTGGCACAACATTCTCTCAGTCAAAAGTGGTTACGATACGAACAACTAGAATATGTGCATCTAGCAGGTACATAGAAGACAATTTCCGTCTGTGGGATTCACTAATTTTGAACTTTCTAGCGGTGGCTTTAGCCACTATTTCCAGCTTTTTATTGCCAGCTGCCAAAGAAAACGTGTATGAACTCTCTCCGTCGTTAAGTGCTAATAAAAACTGCTCATACAAAATAAAAGAAACAATTTCTAACTTTATGGCAAACTTCTTCCTGTCTTTTAATCAAAACTACATAGCACGATGGTCTTTCTGGTTCGTATGGTCAATCTGGAGCTACAATCTAATATCGACTTTCATTCAACCATCGTGGGAAAAATTACATCGTAGCGCATACAATGGACACGTCGAAGCTTGTGTGGCCATTTTGTCGTTCTTCGCAGTGTTGCTAGTCGCATTTAGGAATATCAACTGGAAGAAGAGGACCGTCATCATAATGCCACTACTTACGGGGTTTCAGTACATTATCTTACTGAGTGGAATGGCGTTCAGTAATGGATTTATTTTATTCAACTACATAAGTTATATTATGTTTGCAGTGATTCATTTCTTTGTTGTTACGGCAATTAGCGCGGAAATTGCCAAAACTCAACTAAAATATTGTTTTGGGTTAGTTTTCGGTTTTCTTTATATGACTGCAGGTATTTTAAATACGGTCATGGTATGTGTGGTCAATGACAGTATTGCTCCTTATAAATTTAAAACGGAAGGGCAGTTTTTTGTTTATTTTATAGTTTTTGTTGTGATATTTGTTGTATTTTTTGCGGCATCCGAAATTAAAAAGCGAATTGTTACAGTTGTAAGTAGACATCAATAATAATAAAAATGATAAATGAAGGAGACTCACTCTCAGTGTTGTATATGCTGAGTGGACGCTTAAAATAAATGGTCTAAAGTAATTTAGATAGAACTTTCTTTTATCCAAACCCAGTTTTTGAGACAAATGATAAAATTTTATTTAATTTGTGTCAGAAAAAAGTGATGTATATGAGGATCGAACCTTCGCCAATCAGCGGCTGCCTAATGTTCCTCTTATATGTAGTTACCATTCATCATAATAAATCTGGCTTTTAAAATCAGTGCGTTTCCAGATCGCACTTGATAAACGTGAACAAGTTGACGTGATTTATACTGATTTTGATTTTTCTCACGCTTTCGACCTCATGTCTCCTGACATTCTACTTCAGACACTTAACAATTTTCGTATTTCTTCTTCGCTTCTTAAATTGATTTAATCACACTTGACCAACAACAAGAATTATGTATTTTATGATGGATTTACCTTCTAGCATTTTTTCAACCTCAAGTATCCTTCAACGGGCAAATTGTGGCCCTCTCCTTTTCATTTTATTTGTTAATGATTTGCTTGAATCCTTGGAATGTTGATTTTATCATTATTTGGAGTTGATAAAGCAGGTGATTTTTTGAGGTAGGGTGTTGGATGGCTTGAAAGGAACAGATAATCACTGCAAAGGAGGATGTACCGATTTGGAAACGAAGAACTATATTGCAATGCCTCAATAAGATTCCGTTTATTTGTGGAAATGGTCTAAAACATGTATTATGAACTTTAACTTGGAAAGTTGTAATTATGTTGCAAAAAGTTGTGAAGAAAGTTTTGCATATTTCCACCAATTTTCGATTCATTTCGTGATCGATGAAAACCGGTACTAAATGTTAATGGTTGGCGAAGGCATGGCAGACTTCTATATGTAATACTAATAAAGAGTCGAGAGTTGATCTGCTAGGTCCGAAACCACTCTAGGCGCTGTGTAGATAGGATTTGTCTTCTAGATACCATAAGAGTCGAACGTTTACAGAGCGTACATGTTAGGGAGATAGGGCGATAACTCGAACCATTAGCTGGGGTGGGATTTTGTTTCAACAACAATAAAATATCGGTACCGATAAAATGTGGTCGTCTTTTTCTTTCGCATCTGAAATTTATATTTTCGTCCTTGTCATTTATCGCTTCGTATCGTATCGGTACAAGCAAAATCCCACCCCTGGTGTTTTGCTTGGTTTGAGTATGGATAATATGATACATCTGCGCCATATGTGGGGAAACTTATGTTCATTCATGACATGACTGAAGATTGTGACCAGGGTCCTCTGAGCTTTTGTCGATGAATGTTTAAAAAAGATGGACGGAATATTATTTGGACCTGCAGCTGAGATTCGCAACTTAGCCAGTGCTGTTTGTGAGGGCTGAAAGGATAGGATTTTGGTTGTCGGAGTTGAAAAAATATAGGGTGGGACTTTTCTGTTTGTCGTTTATGCTCGAGAAACACTTCATTGTATTGTATATCGCTGAATACTTTATGAAATTGTTCTGCTAGAATATTTGCGATTTCCTCCTCCTCGATTACAAGCAAATTCGGTGATACTTTTGTTTACCTTGGATCTTATGGATCTTGCTCCAAACTTGGGAGAGAGGAGTCTGTATTCAAAGAGTTGAAACGTATTATTCGCAAGAGTCTGCTTATTCGTTTTGATGGTATATTGTGCTTAGGCTCGTGTGAATTTTTCCAGATTTTCTTGAGTTCGGTGTTTTTTGTATTTGTTGAATGTTGTTTTGCTGGTCTGTATGGCTTTAGCGCATTCATCGTTCCCCCATGGTACGGGATTATGTTTACAAATTGTATCCAATATTGTTTTCTGCTGATGTAATCATCAAGTTTGTGAACTCCTAAATTTGGGCTACGAGGTCATGTTGCTCCATGACATCTTCACAATGTATATGTTTTTATGTTCAGTTTTTAAAAGTCCAAGTCAATCTATTACAAGCAGATAGGCAACCAACTTAACATTGATCTCATGTATGTCCTATGTTCAGAGAAAAAAAAACCTCACGGTATATGTTTTCTTGATATTGTGCCCAATTAGTTTTATTCATAAACTCATTGTGTAGAACCCGAAAGCAAAAGATTAGATCACCCCTATGTGTCCTGTCTTCAAAGGTTGTTCATTTTGATATTGTGAGGAACACGGTGGGCGTGTTCTACCGTAGGGGATGCGAGTAGCATATCGCTGCACAGACTCCAACATGTTACAGGACCACCATATTCCAGAACTGGGCGCACGTAAAGGGGTAAGGCTTAGTAAAGGTAGCAGGAGAAGGATGCGTGAAAATCTTCGAGAGAAGGCATAAAGTGGATTTTGCTTTTTTGCATATAGAGACAATATGGGAGGACCATGATAAGTCGGATGTTATCTTGATGCCAAGGTCTACGTAGGAAGAAACTGGTTTTGATCGTATGCACACATTGGATTGTTTGATCCCAAGTGAAGTGCCACACATTTGTCAGCGTTAATAGGCATTTGCCATACTGCACTTCAATAAGACAGACGATTGATGTTGGTTTGAAGGGTCTGATGGGTATGAGTCGGATTGCCATAGAATTTCAAATCGTTAGCATATAATGAGGATTTAGTCGTGAGAAGTGATGAGAGATCAGAGAAAAATATCAGGAATAGGATGGGACCCAGTACTGATCTCTGTGGAACCCCACTTACAGCTGATTTAGTAGAAGACAACGTATTTCCTACTTTCACTTGGAAAAATCTGTTCTTTAGATAGCTAGAGAGCCAGAGGTGAAGATCGCCATTGATCCCAAAGTGCTTAAGTTTGATAAGAAGTCTTTCATGTGGGACCTTGTCGAAAGCTTTGGCGAAGTCTACATATATGACGTCTACAGGATTGTGATTTTCAAGTTTTAAAGTCGTCATTAATATATACATGGTAGTAGATTGGTGGTAATCGATCTTCCAAGGGTAAAACCATGTTGGTTAGGGGGAATAATATTATTTCGAAGTAAGAAAGGTGTGAATTGCTTAGCTATAATGTGCTCCATAATATTCGATACCACGCTTAATAGACTGATTGGACGGTAGTTAATGGGGTCCAAATTATTTCCCTTCTTAAAGATGGGGACCACTAGTGCTTTCAACCAGATTTCAGGGCAAGCATGAGTCTGAAATGAGTTTTGCATCAACATGGTTAGGGGAAAAGCGAGTGAATGATCGCAACGTTTCAATAGAAAAGAAGATAGACTATTGATTCCGGAGGCCGATGATGAATTTAGAGTGAGGAGATGATGTTTGACAGTGTTTCCGAGATTTCAGTCAAGTCGTCACACAAGTTACCATTACTTGACTTTAGAACTGGAACAGGAACGTGCGTTATAGAAAAGTTTCTTACATATCTGTAAAACTGCTTTTTGTTGGCGTTCAGGGCAATATTTTGTTCATAAGTTGCCTTATCTTGTCTTATTAACCTTGACATGCTATTTGAATAAGTTCGAAAACAGATGTAATCGGTTTGAAGTCGGGTTCTTTTAAATTTTTTCCACAAGCTATTTTTTTGCCTCAGCATTAGTAACGTGGAGTTTTGATCCAGGGTTTCTTCGGATTCCAGCGATGATATGTCAAATATGAATTTTTGGAAATATAATTCTGAATGATACTGGAAAAAATGGTCCACTGAGAATCAATCGAACGGTTAGTTAAGGCTTATTCCCAGTCAACAGACGCCAGTTCTTGATCTAGGTTGGAATAATTGATAACAATGATAACTCTTTTAAGCTTGAGAATTGTGTTGTTACTTTTATGGATAGTTCGTATGGAAGTTCCAATCAAAGCATGATCGGAATTGCCAATTGGAGGTAGGATTTCGTGTTCAGTTAACAGCTGGGAAGAGTTAGTAAGAAGTAGGTCCAAAGTGGAAGGAGTCTGATTAAGCCTGAACCTAGTGTGCTCCGTTATCAATTGCTCTAAATTGGAATTGTTTAAACACTGAATAAAGTTTCTGGATTTTGAATCGATATCTGAATAATTAAAGTCGCCACATATGATTAGGTTGGAATTATTATGACTCATTTGAAAAAGTTTGTCAAATAATAAATTGTCGTTCTCTTCCGGGATGTAGTGAGGTCTATATAAACAGACCAGAGAAAACTGGATGTGACTGGACGAAAAATTGAGGTGTAACAAGTCAATGTCACCAATGTGGCAAGGTTGCGATATTATTGAGAACTTTATAAATTTGGAGTTTTTGATATAAATACAGACACCACCTCCGATTATATTCACCCGATCGCATCTGTAGATGGAATAGCCAGGTAGTGATACGACTGAGTCCGGAATGTCATCTTTGTCTGACATGTTCTGGCACTTTACTGCGATGTGTCCTGTTTTTTCTACAGATAAAACAAATCATTTCGTCATAAGTAAGGAAGATTCGGTACATCGTTTCTTCGTGAGTTATTAAGAGACTTCTTTGGAGACTGTGTTATCGTCTGGTTGTGGGTTCACAAAGACTTGTCTTCTAAAACTCTCGATGTGACTATATTCATCACCGTAAATACCTACCTTAAGTGTAGTTATGGGTGAGAGTAATTTGAGACCTGTTTGCTTGCTTAAGCGTGTTTTCCAAAGCATAACGAGGGATGGAGCTACAGACGTTTGATATTATTATTCTTTTAGCTGGTGATATTAGTTAACGTAATTTCGTTACTTTTTCTGCAATTATGATTTCCCGATAGTTATTTGCAAGGTCTTCTGCGAGTTGTTTGGTTGCTATAAGTAGGAACATAGTCGATTGTTAGAAATTTTGGATGCTGAAAGAATATTTCGGGGTCCTCTCATGCTTCCTACGCTTATTACATAGTCAACTATCGTTATCGAATATCCATGTACGAAAACAATAAGAATGCTCCAAATAAAGAACTAATTGTATTCTCACCAAGTGTCTTCAATGGTGGTGTTGATCTGCACGTTCTGCTTTCTATATCACTAGAAATGGTCGTTCATTTCTTTATAACAACTGTGAAATTCACGATTGAGTTCGAGACACGTGTTTACTTCTCGATATACAATACACAATACGGGCAAATTTTAGATGAGAAGTAGTCTTTTTGTCGATCAACCTGATCCCATAGGTACTCGAATAAACTCACGAATACTGACAATTTAAAACTGACACAGACGAAACCCCGGAATAAAATGACCAAAAATTAACAACGTTTGTGTCTGTTTAAATGACGAATTGACGAAGTATCTTCCCAGTTATTTAATTGTTTTTTATGATCTTTTAGTTACTTCCTAAGCATAAGCTAAGGAAGTATTATAATTTGCTTGGCTACTATTATGTATTTTCGACGTTTCATGTCCCCCTAGAGAACGAAAAAATAGGTTTCCCGCAGTGGGGTAACAATCAAAGTGCGGGCCTGTGTTCTACAACACTGTGGGGCCCCTAATGAACAGCGAAATAAAAATATTTAAAAATACGAGTATAATGAGTAAAGTATGAGTAGATTGCAATTAGGGATTACGTTTTATTAAAATCATTCTACCTGAAACACTGAATTAAAAAAAATAAAATACAATAATTACCTGAATATATATATAATTAAAATATATACAATTATACATTAGAAACTAGCCGACCCGGCAAACGTTGTTTTGGCATTTCTAGTGAATATTTTGGTAGTTAAATAAAAAATTAAATTAAAATAAATATAATTAAATTAAATTATAAAAATGTATCGTACGACAATGATTATATTCAATAGCCATCTTGCAACCCTATTGCGCATCTGTGGATGAAAGGAAAGATACTCATATCGTTATTAAAAAATGGGGGTTGGTGGTAGAAGGGTCAAAATTTAGAGTTATATGTATTTTTAATGCCAAATCTTAAAAAAATTAAAATAAAAAATGTTGTCTAAAAAATAAAAAAAAATTTGGTGGGCCATCTTTATCACTTAGGGGTATAAAAAATAGTTTACTAGACCTACCGAATATACACAAAAAATTTCATAAAAATCGGTCAAAGCGTTTCGGAGGAGTTTGGTTACAAACACTGTGACACCAGAATCTTATATTAGATTATTTTAGAACAAATTTCATTACCATAAAAAAGGTTATACTGAGTCGACCTTAAAAGATAGACATGTGCTGTCGCGGACTTTTTTTTAGAACTTTTGGCAGGGAACAATTCCATCATACAGGATTTTTATGTAACTTTAACCGTTTAAGCAGCGTAAGCAACGGAAGCTGTCAAAGGAGGAATAATTTTCCCGTTTTTCCGATATTTTTCATTGCTGCTCCGCTTCTATTAATGTTATATAGCCTATAACCTTCCTCGATAAATGGACTATCCAACACAAAACTATTTTTTTAATTCGAACCAGTAGTTTCTGAGATTAGCGCGTTCAACCAAACAAACTGTTCAACTTTATAATATAAGTAAGTATAGAAGTATAGATAAAAATGCCCATTTTTTTTTAATCTCAAAATTGTTTTCTTCTTGCTTTCCAATGGGCACAAGTTGATACAAAATTTGACACATCTAAGCTTCTACCAATTTGATTTCCAATTGAGAGATTTAGTGAAGATAATCTGCATAGGCCCATTGTGTTTCTTAAAAAATTTTTAGTCATTTTTAATTTCCAAAAAGATCTTTCCGCTGAAGCCACCGAAAGAGGTATTGTAAGAAAAGTGAAACATGCTGTGATAATTTCAGTGAAACTAGTGCAAGTAGGTAATTCTGTAATAATTTCCCAGTCCAGTTTTTTTTCTACTTAAAAAATTAGTTGTAACATACATCAGATATATTTTATTATTCCAAAAGAGCACCACAAGTACAAAATTAAAATAGTTTTGAAAATACGAAAGTGTTCATAAAACACAACTGAAACTGAATTTTTTTTCATGTCTTATTACAGCATGAAGTGTCACTGTAGATCTGAGGACAAAATTTAAGTATTTTGTTGTCTTGCATCATAAATTAGTCATACTTTTGTCTGATAAAGATTGGTAATTTACTACATGGGGTGTTAGATTTGCCACAATGGGATTGCGACACTGCGGCAGGTTTATTAGAAACAGATGATGATGCATTTTCGACCGCCGGTGCCGATCGCTAAATCCGAGTTTATTGAGTCTATAATATTAAGATGCCGCCAAAAGTCCAGCCCTTTGCAGCAAAAAAATCGTAAATAGCAATGATCCTGGGATTACCCCACATTTTCGAATTTTTTATTTCAGGATGTAATTCGGACAATAATATAAAAAATCTAATAAAAAAGAATTGTTCGTGGGACCGGACCGGGCCCCTTGAAGCAGCGGGCCCGTGTTCCGGCGAACACATGGAACACCGGTAGTTACGCCACTGGTTTCCCGTTTCCATTTGTCTGTCGTCTGTCCTGTCTGTGTCGATCGATTTTTATTATACTTACAAATAATCTCCGGAACTACCAAACCGATTGTTGTTACATTTTATGTATATCAGAAATAATCGCGTGGATCGTAAAACGCTAACCAAAATTGATGATTATTCTTATTAAATAATAATTAATCATTTTATTTTTTGTTTTAGTTAAAAAAGTGTATGCGTGTGTTGCAGTTCTAATTTAAAAAAAAATCTGAACAAATGAAGTTTAAAGTTTAAAATAATTACAGAAAATAGGGCCGGAGTATTTTTAAGTATAACCCAAATTTCAAGAAGATCCAACTAACCGTTCCCGAGATATTCAACTGCGTCCATACTTTGCAGCAACCCTATATTTACATTTATCACGCCTACGTTGCGTGACAATCTCATCACAATTTTTATAAAAAAAAATAATTTCGATATCATCTCAGACAACCGTAAATCTATAACTGCAGATGGATATATTTTTAATACGATCATATATTTCTCCTGTACAAAGTTCAACTAATTCGAGTTTTATTTATTAAGAACAATTATGACTTGCATTTAAAAAGATTTCAGTATGGAACTTTGCCCTTAAAATTTAAGACAAAACAATTCAAATGGCCTGATAAATTTTTATTTTTGAGATGCCTATCTAACGAAGTGTGTGGTGCATTTTTCTAAATTTGCATACACATTAAAGTCAGTGGGAGGCACACTGTTATCCTAAAATAAATTGCAATAAAGTATTTAATAATAAAGTGTATCTATACATTTAAAAAAAAATGGTCTGTAGTTATTTAGTCATAACTTCCCTCGTCCATGAAACTCTATCAACAAATTCAATTAATTCTTACGATGCCATTTATACACTGAATATTATGAATTTTGGTAAAATTAAGTAAACCTTTTATGATTTAACATTACATTAGGGAGCATAATTTTTAACGAACATTAACCTATTTTGGAAAAAAAATGCGATAATATATTCAGTTTCTAAAACAGACAATTGATTAAATACTTCGTTGTTTTTTGACCATAAGGTCAGTGTATAATAAATAATAGCTTCCCAATTTTTCAAAAAGTGTATACTAGGACCAACTGTAACGGTAACCTGTACGCACTGTTAAAAATAAGGACACATGATTAAACCACGAATAAAGGAGCAAATCAAAGTAACTAAAATGAATCCAATAATTTTGCATATTATTTGTCTAATAAAGTCCACAACAGACGATAGATACACAGACCTAGACAACAGACGTATTTTTTCATATTCTATTCTAACCACGAAATTAAAAATGTGTAAGTCCTTCTTCAGGGTTAAACTTAACAAATAATGGATGTTCTGAAAGATACTAAAACTAAAATTCTTTATTACCTACTGTCAAATCATTCTCATACAAAAACATATTGTAGCACCTGTGTCATGAAATAATGGATCATTAAGTGGTTTTAAAGAAAATTATAGAATTCAAACAGAATAAAATTTCTGCACCACATCTGGATTCCAAATTTTTGGATAACCAGGGATAAAACCCGGATAAATGCAAGATATGTGGATCCCGATTTTTTTTTTTTTTTGAAATTCGGATTTTTCAGTTAGGTACGAATCTAAAACGGCGAAAACTGCCGATTCGTAGCCACTAAACGTACAACAGCAAATAAAATATGTACATGGATTCGATGTATACCGAAACGTGATAATTAAAATTGTACCGGATTATGGGCGTGTAGGCTAAGGGTACAAAGTACAGGTAAGATGTTTAAACACAGGTTCGTATAATCGTTTATTATCACTTGGGTTTATTCAGTCAAAATTTCAATGTAATCTTTACACCGTGACAGTCACTTTTTCGAGCAGTCGCGCGCTATATATTTTTGCGCGCCGCTAAATTCAATCATTCAGTAAAAACATCACTTTAAAGATGAGTCTTTTAACTGAGTATTTATTATCCTTTTTGGCCATTGTTGTCGTTCCTGTTTACATATATTATGCCAAACATCATAGACAACTGAAGTTTCTTCAACAATTTCCCAGCCCTCCGGTGATTCCCTTAATCGGAAGTGCTCGTGATTTTAAAACTCCGAGCGGTAAATATAAAAGTCGATCTATTGACAATTTATTAAAAATATTTTTTTAGAATTTTTAAAGAAATTGCATGAGTATGCAAGGAAGTATGGTTCACTAATTCACTTACAAATTGGACTGAGACACACCCTCGTCAGCACAGACTACAAATTTATTGAATTTTTATTGAGCCACAACAGTTTGTTGAAGAAGACTACAAATTTTAAATTTTTGAAACCCTGGGTTGGAGAAGGATTAATTACTGCTGACGGTATATTTTATACTAAGTTCTTGAAAATATTTATTTAGATGTTTTTATACACATGTAGGAGGACCCAACTGGAAAATTCACCGAAAATTAATAACTCCTGCTTTCCATTTCAAAATTTTGGAACAATTTGTTGACGTGTTTGAAGCAGACGGGGATATTTTAGTCGAAAAGTTGTCTAAAGAAAGTGGAAAGAAGTCAGTGGACATTTACCCTTACATCACCAGATGTGCCTTTGACGCGATTTGCGGTAAATCTCTTTTGTTAATGTTTTAAATTCTGCTATCTTCGGATTTTCAGAAACTGCCATGGGAACAAAAGTAAATGTACAAACGAATGAAATATCTTCTTATTTTGAGAGTGTAAGACAAATGTGTAGACTATTTGTAACTCGTTCAACATCTGTTTTGGGACGTTATGACCTTTTCTTTCGATTCACGAAAGACCACAAAATCCAGAAAGAGTCGCTTAAGATCTTGCATGGTTACACCAAGGAAGTAATTCAGAACAAAAAGAAAGAACTTACTAACAAACAAAAAGAGAACAATGCGATGAACAACACTGATGAGTTGGGTAGAAAAAGGAAGAAGGCATTTTTAGACTTGATTCTGGAAGCCAAGATTGATAATCAATCTCTCACCGATGAAGAAATAAGAGAAGAGGTTGACACTTTTATGTTTGCGGTAAGTTTTTCAATACCCAAAGTCTTTGGAATTAATTTTGAATCGCAGGGACACGACACAACGGCTACCTCGTCCACTTTTATATTATACTGTATAGCCAACAATAAAGAAGTTCAGGTAAATAAAATCTTTAAATTACAGTTTGAGTTTGAAAAATGACAATTTCAGGAGAAAATTCTTGAAGAACAACGAGAAATTTTTGGCGACGAAAAAAATCCGAAAGTAACTTATGCGAACTTACAAGAAATGAAGTATTTAGAAAATGTTGTTAAGGAAGGTTTACGACTGTACTCTCCTGTGCCGTTTATTGGAAGAGTGATAGATAAAGACGTAGAGTATAGTGAGTACAACAATTTTCTTTAATTGAAAACTAAACTCTTTGCATTTTAGATGGACAAATTATGCCCAAGGGACTTAATGTGGCCATTTTTTTGCACGGAATGCACATGAACCCTGAATACTATCCCAATCCAGAAAAATTTGATCCCAGTAGATTTGAAGTTATAGGTAATAAACTACCTTTTGCTTTCGTACCATTCAGTGCAGGACCAAGAAATTGTATAGGTAAGTTTGATAAGGTGCTTTAACATTTGGTCTAAGCGGGGATTTTAGGACAAAAATACGCTATGATAGAAATTAAAAGCATTGTATCGAAAGTGGTGAGACATTATGAATTAAGTGCAGCTTTTCCTCGGCATGATCTTGACCTGACACCAGAAACTGTGTTGAAATCGTTGAACGGGGTTCGAATTGGACTAAAATTGAGATAAAACCGTAACAGGAGTTGCTAAAACACCAGAATTAAGTAGCATAATACTTACAATATGTAGTCTGTAATATTCATATTTATAATTTGTTATTATAAGACTTTGATAATATAGGGCGCACCAGATAATTTTTGGCATCTGTTCTGGAAATGTTCTATACGATTTACGTGAGTTCATGTCAATTGATGTATGAGAGGTTTAGAGCGATCCTAACCTAAAAGTGGAATCAATGTGATCAGTGTTTACAAGACTTATTATTTCCCATTTACAACAAAATTTGTTAAATTATACCTACTTTGTTGTGTGGGTAAATTTTTCCAACATTTGTTATTAAATATTATATTCAACACTACTGAATTTTTATTTCCTTCTTGCAATTCTTGAAACAACAACAAATCAACAAATACCCAGAAGAAATTTCCTTAAGAATGCAAAACAAGCAGAATTACGCAGCACAATAAATTGGAAAGAAATATCGTGTAATTGTTTCAAAATAACTTTAAAAAGGCTAATGATAACTTTAAAATATTTGTCAACATATAAAAACAAATACAAAATCCTAACTTTTATGGCTTCTTCTTCTGCTACTGCTAGCGAGTCCCCTCTTCTTCGTATATGAACCCACTGTAACAAACGACATTAAAAATAACTTCAACTTTTTTAACACTTATTCTTAAAAACGTTGGAGACCATCATAACAAATTATTATTGACTTCTGATTTAAAAAGAAATGGCATGGGATATATTTAGGCAGATTTTTTTGTATTCCTGCAATACAACTAATGATAGAACATTTACTCTGTAATTTTTAGTAAGGCTAATCATTTTAATTCAAATACATGTAATGGAACGGTATCATAACGTTACACTCTTCTACTAATTTTAAGGTAATTAGATTCGTAGAGCAGGTAACCTCGAATTTAAAATGTTAACCTCAAATACAAATTTTTTACTAAATTTTAAAATGCGATCTACAACTCCTCTGCTGATCGATTTTAAAATCTTCAATAACTAAAGGAAGCTAATAGCGATATTGGCGTTTTGAAGAAATTATGTTGTTTTTGGAATTTTGTTCACTACCAAGAAATGTGAAATATATTTAAAGCAGATAACTGATGACGTCATAATTTTTTAGGAGTACCATAAACGAACAAATTTTGATTAACAGTTTACCATGCTTACGATAATCTTAAAAAGCTTGCAAGTTTTCAAAGTTAAATTGTAAAATGTTGCTATACAATTTTGATTTTTTTCTCAAAAATCTACATGTCTAGGGTGAAAACTCGACATAGATTCATGAATCACACAAGCAGGAGTATAAAATTAAATGTATATATAATACCTACAAAAGCAGCAAATTAGTAGTAAGTAAAATGGTACGTTTCACCCCACATTTTGTTTTTTAATTTATTACAAGGTGCTTTATCTTTTTTTAAAAGAAGAGGCCAATTTAGACGTTGAAGAGGATTTTTTTTATTTTTTGTAAAAATCTCAAAAATCACCTCTTCAAAATGGGGTGAAATATTAAAAAATGTTTTAAAAAAACTTCACGACAAAAATGGACTTTTTTTATTTTATAAAAAAGCTTTCTTAAAAAAATGATGCACTACCTTAAAATAGATGAAAAACAGGCAAAAAATAGCTTAAATAGATAAAAAAAAAAATGTCGGATGAAACGTACCATTTTACTTTCTACTGATTTCAATTTAGAAATTTCATCAATAACGTCCGATACGTACTTTAAGGATTGGAGTCATTCAGATAAGAATTGGATTTGAAATTTGGAATCTCCAAAATTTATCTTTATATATAAAAGGCAATGTCCCGACTGACATATCAACGCCCAGCCCAAACCGCTAATGATAGAAAGTTGAAATTTGAAGAGAATGTTCATTTTATACTGGAGGCATCGTTTAAGAAGGGATTTCTCGAAATTCATCCCCTAAGGGCGTTAAAAAGGGGTGATAAAATTTGTATAGGACCAATATATCTACTCTAAATTTAGATCGTTGCGTGAAACCTGGTATATTTTAATTCTCTTCAATACAAATAAGGAAATACGTATTATTTTAAGCGTTTTCGGAGATCACCCTAAGGGGGTGAAAAGTGGTGTCTAAGTTTGGGCGGCTAAGTTTGTATACGAACAATATTTCTACTATAAATTGAAATTTTTACGTCAAACTTGGTATTAATGTTCTTCAACACAAATAATGAAACCCGTCTTTAAACATTTTCTAAAATTCAACCCCTAAGGGGGTGAAATATGGTGGCTAGGTTTGTGCGGGAATATTTCTATTGTAAATTTAAATTTTTACGTGAAACTTGGTATTAATTGTATCCAACACAAATAATGAAACACGTATTTAAGCATTTTGCGAAATTCAACCCCTAAGAGGGTGAAATATGGTGGCTAGATTTGTGTGGGAATATTTCTATTGTAAATTTAAATTTTTACGTGAAACTTGGCACTAATTGTCTCCAACACAAATAATGAAACACGTATTTAAGCATTTTCCGAGATTCAACCTCTAAGGGGGTGAAAAGTGATGGCTAACTTTATATCGGAAAATGATTTCTATTGTAAATTTTTGACATGGAATTTAGTATTAATGCATAGTGGAACACGTAATTAAGCATTTGCCGAGATTCAACCCCTAAGGGGGTGAATAGTAATGGTTAAGTTTGTATAGGAAAAGTATTTCTACTGTAAATTTAAATTTTTACGGGGAACTTGGTATTAATACTCTTCAACACAAATAATGGAACACGTATTTCAGATTGTTTCGAGATTTCACCCCTAAGAAGATGAAAGGAGGTGACAAAGTTTTTATGAGCAAATATTTTTTATGTCGATTTTTACTGGAAATTGTATTAATGTCCTTCAAACACATGTTTTACTTGAAGGTTGATAATAATGCTCTTCAACACAACGAATCGTTTACGCGAGCGAAGCCGCGGGCGAAAAGCTAGTATTTGATAAAATAATATAAATTAAAGAACAATATTCTAAAATGTTTTAAAGGGCCTTACACGAAAAAAATTTGATCAACAATTTACCAAGGTTACGATAACCTTAAAACGTTTGCAAAATTTCAGAGCATTCAGTTTTGCAGCTTTGATTTTCCTCCAAAAATCTGAATGTCTAGGATAAAAACTTACTAGGAGTTCGTAAACCACATGTGCAGGAGTATCTTATTTTATAAAAATTAAATAATACGTACTATTGTAAATTTTGGAAATGACTTCAACAAATTATTGGTAGGGATGATTAGCTAAATTTTGATTAGCGTTTTACCATCTACACGATATTCGTAATCCAGATATAAAATTTGACAACTGGTTCAGTAGTTTCGGAGATTATCTGCCTAATAAAGATCCGGACGGACGGCAGACAGACAGACAGACAATCAGGCAGACAGACCGAAACGGCAGACCTATTATTTCGTACTGAGTTTACACTTTAAAAAGATGCTCTTGTTTAATATTTACATATGTAGTTTTTTATGCGTCTGCTATATTTTTAGGAATATTTATTGCATTTGTAATTGTAACATCCTGTACATGTGAAAAATGTAAATAATTGTATGAAAAAAAGAAGTAGACTGTTTCGGGAAATTTCCTGGTGCCCCGGAGAACTTTTTATTTATTTATATATTTTATTTTCTTATGATTTAGGCCGGAAACAATTAGTTTCTGGACGAGTTAGGCTATTGGAAACAAGTACTTAAAAATGAAGCCACAAAAACAAAGTTTTAGTTAGATTACACAACAAGGTTTTCGAGTAAATGCAGATCACGTCAGTTAAAATCAGTGAGATTTTGAATATATGTATTATAATCACGCCTATGTCGCATGACGATCTCACGATAATTTTAATAAAAATTTCTTAAGTTTCGGTATCACCTCAGGCTACCATCAATTTTTAATGGAGGTCATGAATTTGTCCTGTTCAAAGTACAATTTTATTTGTTGGGAACAATAAATTATGACTTGCATTTCAGAAGAGGTCATTATCGAACTTTGTCCTCGGAAACAATGAAAGAAAATAATATGGATGGAAACAGTTATTGTGATAAATTTTTATTTTAGAGATCCATATCTAACTGAACATCATAGTACCGGTGTTGTAATTAAAAAGATATAAGTTGTAGTTGAAAAAACAACCACACTGAAGTAGTAATGACCTTTACCACTACTTTTTTGCAGAACATTTTTTGCAATAAATTATTAATGTCTAGTCTAGGCTAGGTGCATCCAAATTAACAACTAGTTGATGTTTATTTACTTTATTTACATGATTTATGCTGTGTTTCATAAAGGCGCGGACAAAATTAGGCAACTCACAATACACATAAGCGATCCTAACTTGTCCATTCATTTAAAAAATATTTATACCCAATTTTAGTTCTTCCGATCCTGTAAAAAAAATGTTCATTCAGGTAAATGCTGCATTGACCCCACGAACCCCCATAAATAAATCGTATTAAAGAATTATGTCTGTATGATAAGATAAGAGTTTCAAATCACGTTAGAAAAATAATTGAAATAAAAAAATGTTACCTACATTATTGGTGGTGACAATATTTAAATGAAGCACATCTATAGGTTGCTATTCAGGGCTAGACTATAGTTATATTTAAACATTGTAACGTGAAAATTAAATAAGAAAAACATCGTAGGTTGCCTACTTTAGGCGCGTAACGTGAGGGCACAGCATAGATAACAATCAGTAGAGACAGCTCGTGTCGGCGCCTTTGTTCTTTCTGACCCGAATTTTAAGCCGTCATGGGTGGTCGTTGGCTAAACTATTCCTAGATGTCGCCACCCAATTTAAAAAGTATCACTTCATTTACAATTTCAAAAATTGATTCGTGTACGCAATTTATTGCAAACTGTCTAGTTTGCTCAAATCGTATAATCGTGAATCGCAATAAGAAAAAAGAAAAGTCGATATTTAATTTATAAACACGATCATTTGTTACAGCTTTTATTTTATTACTTATACAATTTGACAATTCGCACATTCTTTCCCCGAATACTTGAGGTTTAATTATCATTGTAAAAATAATGTAATAAATCCATCTAAAAAGAAAGAGGTTTATTTAAGAAAAAATAAATAAAATAAAAATTAAATTACAAAAAGGAAAAAAGTTAATGCTGCCAAATTATTTTTTTTCTATTAATTTTTTCACCTTTGGCATTTGTAAATTTAAAGCTAGCATTTACAAATTTTAGTGCATAAAATAATCTCATCCTAGCATACAAAGCAAGCAAATAATCGTATGGAAAGTTTTGGCATGGATGAACAAATGTAGCTTGCTTATATAAATTTAAAAATTTTAACAAAGTAGTTGTTTGTAAAATTATATTTTCAAAATTTTCACTAAAATTTTGCTCTAATTCACAAATGTAAAAAAAGAAATTATCGTTTGGCATATATAATTTACCAAATAACTCGCAATTCTTCGTTTGGTAGACCCTGAAATGTGAATATATGCTTGTGTAATTACTTTATACAAGAAGAAATATAAAAATAAGAACAGTACCTGTTAAATTGTTTAATAATTTCAAAAATTTTACGAAAAAAACGCATTTTACCTAACAACTTAACCCGTAAGCGTAATATCATATAAAGTAAAATTTTTATTTAAAAAAAATTATTACAAAAAAAAATACATATTTGTCGACTCGCATAAAGTGCAGGTAATTGGTATGGGTCGACGCAGGTAAGAATAATTAAGGAATTCATGAAACCGGAAGTCCATAGGGATTAAGCGACTGCTTATGGGTTAAGCAACGTCTCAAAATAAAACTCAAGATTGTGTAGGTCAAAAAATATATATATATACATGATGAATAAAAAAATTGTTTATTGAGTGAAGGTCTGCTTATATAATTTTTTGTTACGTGTAGTTTGTTTCTTATTATTTTTATATTTAATTTTACCACAACAACGGAATCATATATAATAAATTTTTATTATTTATTTCATAACCACCGTTGTTGTTCGTTTGCGACGACTTTTTAAACAAAAAGTGTGTTATGTTTACTATCTTTTCCAAGAATTCCAAACACGAGGGAGAGAATAAGGCGCACAACAGGGATCCTGTATGAAAATTCATCGGACAAAGATTTTACCTTTTATTGTGAAAATTACATTTTTATACTATTTGTACAATTCTACGGGAAAAGCAGTCTTAAACAAGCAAAACTGGCAAAAATATTGTAACAAAACTGCCAAATTTCAAATATTTTAGACGTCAGTTGGGCACCCTCATTCGGTCATAATGCGAACGACCACCCACGAAAACGGGTCACGAAAAACGGCGAGCCGTCTCTACTGATTGATATCTATGCTGTGGTGAGGGTTCAAAGTACAGGTAAGATCTTTAAAAACAGGTTTACAATCGTTAAATACAAGTATTATCAATTCGATTTATATAGTCAAAACTTTTTATGTCATCTTTACACCATGACCATAGAACATAGAGAAGCGCCATAGTTTAAATCAAATGACGGTTGAGGACTTCTCAATTTATGTTGGTAGCAGTGTTTGTTTCTAACTAGGAATAAAAGTAACTAGAAGAAATGTCATAATATTTTTAACGACGCGTTTTATTTTCGACAAATTGACACTAGATTTACCAGAATATTACAAACTGCTTACTGTTTCCTTCACTATCATTCAGGTCACACGAATTGCAATTATAGTGAGGAAAGGTTTTTATTGGCATCGACTATTTAAATTTGTCGCTTGCCTTTGGCGGTTGAGGACTCCTATGTCAATAAGGGTGGTTGTGCAAAATCAGCCTCTATGTCGCTTCTCTATGTTCTATGGTTGCATGGTTCTCTGCCTTAACCATGACCACGGCCATATATAACAGGTCTGCGAACTCCGAGTTTAAAATGGTCTTTTTTCGAAGAGATCCCAGAAGGCCACGGGAGCTTAAAGTTCCTAGCGCCGTCTACTGGATACTATGATGAAACTGTCCACAATAATGAATGAAATTTGCGTAAATATGTCCTTGAATGCAAGTTGTCACAAATGTCAGCTAAATAGGTTAGGTTTTGTGACATCTTTTTGAAAGATGAGGGGAAATATACGTCAAATATCATGTCAAACGTCAGTCGATAGTGCAAATAGTACAATTAACTACCACATGGTGGCGGTCATCTTAAGCTCCCACAACCTACTACGATACCAGTTTTTAAGCGCCCGTTTTATGAAAATTTATGAATGGAGTTGAAACACCTTACTTAAACCACCGTGACCATGACAATCATTTTTCGAGCAGTCGCGCTCCACATATTTTTCGCTCGTCGCTAAACTGCATCATTCGGTGAATACATAAATCAATTTAAAGATGAGTCCGTTAACTCAATATTTATTAGCTTTTTTGGCCATTGTTATCGTTCCCATTTACATTTATTATACGAGATATTCCAAACTACTGAAATTTGTTCGACAATTTCCCAATCCTCCGGTGATTCCGTTACTCGGGAACGCTCTGGATTTCAAAACTCCTGGCGGTAAATCAGAAGTATATAATTAAACTGACGATTAATGAATCATTTTTTTCTTTTTTAGAATTTCTGAAGAAACTGCACGTGTATACGAAGACGTATGGACCTGTTTTTCATTTGCAATTTGGCCTGAGACACAGCCTCGTCATCTCAGACTACAAATTTCTTGAATTTTTGTTAAGCCACAACAGTTTGTTAAGAAAGAATGCGAACATAAAATTTTTGAAACCCTGGATCGGAGATGGACTCATTACTGCTGATGGTAAATGTTTATAACAGTTTTTCAAAATGTGTATATATTTTTTATAAATATGCAGGTGGACCCAGGTGGAGAATGCACCGAAAGCTAATAACTCCTGCCTTCCATTTCAAAATTTTAGAACAATTCGTTGATGTGTTTGAAGCTGATGGAGATATTTTAATCGAAAAGTTATCCAAGGAAAGTGGAAATAAGTCAGTGGATATTTACCCTTACGTTACCAGATGTGCCCTTGACGCGATTTGCGGTAATTTTTTCTTTAATTTTTGGTTTTTGCTCTAATTGAACTTTTAGAAACTGCTATGGGAACAAAAATTAATGTACAAACAAATCAAACCTCCTCTTATTTTGAAAGTGCCAGACATATGTGTCGGCTGTTTGTAACTCGTTCAACTTCTATACTGGGACGTTACGACTTTTTCTTCCGATTTACTAACGACTACAAAGTTCAAGAAAAGTCGGTGAAGATTTTGCATGATTATACTAAAGAGGTAATTCAGAACAAAAGAAGAGAACTTACTAACAAACACAGCGATAATAATACTGTGGACAACACTGACGAGTTGGGTAGAAAAAGGAAGAAGGCATTTTTAGACTTGATTTTGGAAGCTAAAGTTGATAATCAAACTCTCACAGATGAAGAAATAAGAGAAGAAGTTGACACTTTTATGTTTGCGGTAAGTTTTTTAATACCAAAAGTCTTTATAGGGTTAATTTTAAATCGTAGGGACACGACACAACGGCTACCTCGTCAAGTTTCATATTGTATTGTATAGCCAACAACAAAGAAGTTCAGGTAAACTAATCTTTAAATTGGTGTTTGAGTATGTGAAGTGACAATTTTTAGGAGAAAATTCTTGAAGAACAACGAGACATTTTTGGCGAAGAGAAAAATCCAAAAGTAACTTATGCAAACTTGCAAGAGATGAAGTATTTAGAAAATGTTGTTAAGGAAGGTTTGCGATTGTACACTCCTGTGCCAATTTCTGGTAGACTTATAGAGCAAGACGTAGAATATAGTAAGTAAAACTGTTTTCATTAATCGAAAACTAAACCATTTTAATAATTTAGATGGTCAAATTATTCCCAAAGGAATGAACGTGGGCATTTTTTTCCATGGAATCCACATGAACCCGGAATATTATCCCAATCCTGAAAAATTTGATCCCAGTAGATTTGAGGTGGTAGGTAATAAATTACCCTTCGCTTTTATACCATTCAGTGCAGGACCACGAAATTGTATTGGTACGCTGTGTAAGGTGCTTTAACATTTATTCTAAGTTTGGATTTTAGGACAAAAATACGCTATGGTAGAAATTAAAAGCATTGTATCAAAAGTGCTGAGAAATTTTGAATTAAGTCCAGCTTTTCCTCGGCATGATCTTGACCTGACACCAGAAACTGTTTTGAAGTCGTTGAATGGGGTTCGAATTGGACTAAAATTAAGATAAAAGCTGTCTCCTGGGGTGCTAAATGTTAGATTGCAAGTGTAAGAATAATAGTTATTTATACTGGTGTGATCTGTAATACTACTTTGAGAAGATATGGCCTATCAAATCATTTTTGGCATCCATTCCAGATTAGGATGTCCCCGCTAATTTATGTATCAGCGTTTTCGTTTTTTACGGCGTGAAACTTCATATTAATCTAAAAATTATTGGATGTTTCTTTCCGTCTTGCAATTTTTTGATTAATTAAAATAAAGTTATTCTAAGACATATACTTTATACAAATTTTTATTTTTACTTTTCATTTAATTGCCTAATTTTATAATTTTTTTGACAACTCCTATAAGTTAATAAAAAGAAAATTGTAAACTGTTAAAGAACATGTAAAGAAATGCATATGTTGTTTTACGAAAATAAAGATTGTCCATTTAGACCGCCTCATGAAGTACAACAGTGACACCGTTGACGTTTCTGATCAGGACGATCAGAACTAAGGAGGGGGCAGTGTTACGAAAGAAACCTATACGCCGTCCCGGTATGGGTTCTAGTATATATGGCGATCGTCGGTGACGGCGGCCGGGCGGAGTTCGCTAAAGAAAAGCTTGGAAACGGATGTCGCGATGGGTATTCCAGAAAGACCTCGATTGCGAAACATCTAGAAGGATGGGAATATGGGTTTAAATAATTTAATCAACGAGTGAAGTCCAGACAATCGGAGAAAGAGTCTAGTCAAATCTATTCCACTTGGAATTATTGCGTACATAATCGCATTGGAATTGGCTGTGAAATTTGAGTTACAAAAATAAAATTGTTGAGTTTTACCCAAGCCGATTTTTATATACCCGTTCAACGGAACAATAGTTTTTGTGATAAATTCAAAAACTACAACAAATGTATAGTTTCAACAGGACGGTGGCTTGTATCATTATCATAGAATCGTTCGGGATTACCTTGACAGCCAACAGGTGGATAGGGGACTGCCTCGTCAATCTTTGGCCACCACGAAGTTCGGTCCTTACGCCCCTGGATTTTTTTCTATCGGGCACAGTCAAAAAGCATTAGTCTCAGAGACATTAGTCAGCGTCAATGAGGTCATTTTTGCTTCTGACTTACAAGGGGGTCAACATTTTGAAAATGTTGTGATAACCCAAATATCCCGCTTTAAATTGGCATGTGAAAAAAATTGAAAGCCCCCGAAACATTCAAAAATTCAAAAATTTAGCCTTAGCTGTGATCGTCTGACAAAATGTAACCCTACATTGTGTTTTTAAAAATGGCGGGATGCGTTCAGTTGCAAGTGGGGGTCCCCAAAATTATTTATTGCTCCACTAACAAAAAAAAAGAAAAAAAGCTGCGACTAAGTTGCGCAGGTTGAATACCTGCTTATTGCTCAGCTATAAAAAAAAACTTTGAATGACTTGGAATGAAATCAAATTAAACGTTCTGAATCAATGCAAATATTTGAATATCACAATCAGCAAATTTAAATTTGGCATTCAACAAGACCACAAAATTTTAATAAAAAAACTATGCAGCGGCAGCGGCACCAGAGCGCTATAAGAGTGTGGCGATTGAACTATGACAATTTCATTCTGGTGCACAACAAAAATACCCATAGGGGGGGTTCTAGCGCGAGCGGAATTTAGGACTCCCGGTCGTGGCTGTTCTCCTACCCACGACGGTGATTCTATCTATCGTAAACACTGCTGCAAAGCACTTCTCTACTACGGACATGCCGTACGAGCAGGCCGTTACGGTCGCAAACTTGCAATTGGGTCCCGGCTATGAGGTGGACAGCGTTACGTCATCTCGACCGCCCCTGACTTCTATGCTAGGCTGCATCCTTTGTGCAGATGGCGCGATAAATCCTGCCAGCTCGACTAGAAACCGTGCACTCCGCTTCCGGTACGTATTATTGCATTATTTAACCTCAATTCCATTTAAATTTTCAATTTCTATGACTTTGATATTACCGACAACTAAACAAGTGTCAAAGTTTCAAAAAGAGCAATAAACAACATTTGGATTCACCATACACTCTCGTGAAATTTAGAACAACAAATAATTCTTATGTGAGATTAAAATTGGACATCAGATAATTTATATGATGGAAACATTCATCAACAAAATATTTACATGAAAGAAAAACTAGCAAATATTTATCAAACAAAAGATCTAATGTGAAGTATAACTTGTGCAGACAAAAATTACGTTAGGTAGGAAGCTGCAGAGCATGAAAAATTACGTTCAATTTAAAATATACAATAAACAAAATTACTGAAGTTAAAATTGTAAAAGATAAAGAAAAATTGCAGGAGGTGAAAAATTGCAAAACTAACAAAATTACGTGAGTTTAGTATTTTACGTTCATTCAAGTTATTGGTTAAATTTTCAAAAGTGAAATGGCGAATGCGTCGTTCAAAAAAATGCGTCAAAAATATGTTTCCCAGAAATGTGATCAATTGATCAATCCTGTGGCGCTGTGCAAATAATGGTCTAAATCAAAGCCAGATGAGCCACAATGTTGTTAATTTGTTCAATAAGATTTTTCAGTTCAAACATGTGCTCGGATTGAAAATACTCTTCCAACATGGCCGCTTCCAGAACAAAGAATTTACCTAATGTTTTAAATTATGCCACACTTTATCAACGATTCAAACAAAGAATTTACATTATGTTGTAGTAAGCCGTTTCGAACCAAATTTCCGCGCGCCAAACTTTTGGTAAGAGAAGGGATGGAAATGGAAAGAAACGAAAACCACTAAGAGAGAGATGCGCAGAAGGGTGTGTTTGAGCAGGGTGAGTCGCGGGCAGTTCAACTTGGCCTTTCTTTCGAGTAAGACGTCAGGTTGGTGCTCTCTGTGTTTTTTTTTCAAATGTCTGTGCGCTGTTTGTTTCCTGTTCTAGTGCTGATTTCTTCTAACGGAGTTCCACCCTCCCCCGAAGAATCAGCGAACGTAAGAATTCCCTGCTACGTTCGAACACAGAGAGGTTATTTCGGTGGTGAGCACGTATTTGGTTTGAAGATCCAAGAGGTATGTTTTCTACATGATTCCGTGTGTGCTGGTGGAAGAAGCGGCGTTGCTTCTCGATGGTTACGGAGTATGCGAGACGCGGGAACCACACACATATGTGACGCGACAAAAATGGCGGCACTTCCGGATGACGCCATGGCCGTTAATTTTCGTACTAACCTTTTCAACATAATTTCAATCCGTTTTAGTAGGGCTTTTCAGGGAATTACGTTAGCTAGGGCAGTTTTATTTAGCGAATGTTATGCGGAAAGTTGGATGGCAATTTTCGAGTTATTATTTTGCGTTGCATAATTTGAGCACGTGTGAGTAAAGTAAATTCAAACGTAATCTGAACAAGTGAATCTTTAACAAAAATAACGTTGAGAACGGCATCAGAAAATTAATAATATCATAGTCTGGGGGACGGGGGATTTTCTTTGTGTTAGTAACATCAATTAATTAGGCACATCAATTAGACTGACATTATAAGATCTAAGATATTTGAATGGCTTTTCCTCGATTTATTATTCGTTTGTTGTAAACTCTAATGCCTGAAAATTTCATGTAGTTTTCAAATATTCAGCCGTTCAAAATAGAAAGAGAAAGTGGTAAGGTGCAAGTACGGGGTGTTGACCGGGGAATTTCAAGGGCAACCTTTGTGAATTTTTGTATTAGTCATTGGAGATTTGTTGTTGACCGAAAACTGTTGATGAATTTGAAAATGAATGTTATTGAAAGAAAGGCACAATTCAAAGCGAATGTTGCACCCACGATTGCCTATATTTTATTTATTTTGCATGTTTTATGTGTGGTATATTTTTTGTATGTGTTTTTATTTATGTGTATTTTGTTTGGGGATGTGTTGGAGGGGGGGGGGGGTTGTTTAATTCGGTCAATGACGTGTTTAATTTGGTCAACAACGTAACTTTGCCCAGATCATTTTAATGCAGTCGTAACTTCTTTGTTTAATGTCAGATAAATATTTCAATAAAATCCATAGCTTCTTTATTTTCTTTGGTAAGAATCAGCGACGTAAATGTAGCTTAATTTAATAAAATCATTGCCAAAATGTGAATAATTTAATCTCTTTCAAAATTCTTGTTCTTTGTCATTGATAAAACATGAATAATTCCTCATTTCATTTTCCTTATTGTATAAAATTGTTGATCACACGTGCATAATTTAATCTCATTTAAATTTCTTTGTTATTTAAAACAAGTGTTGATGGAGTGTGGCCAATTAAATTTTGCTTATTGCTTGTCTGAAATCCAAATACTCATTTTGATAACGCTAGTTAACTCGGGGGTCGTGTGGCGTGGACGCGGTGGCGTCGGCGTCTCCGTGCGAGTGTCTGCGGGTCTTGCTAGACTTCCGGCCCTAGCGGACTCGGAGTTTACACAGCTACCTTGTTTGCGGGATACAGGAAGGTCAACCTATGTCAGGTGGGTGCGTAAGACCACGCGCGTGAAGTGGTGAGGTAGGACTATGTGGACCTTCACGGGGAGTGTGGCCGTCGCCCTGCCCCCGCTGTGCGCCCCCATTTTGTTTGTAGAGGCCACACTGCCATAATATCTGGAACGTTGCCATCCATTTACTTTCTGAGATTTCCGCGGCCTTTTTATTTTGTTTCTTGTTATACTTGTAAGGTTGTTAATCTTTATTCTATGTTTTCAGGTTCGAGTGAAAATAAAGGTTTTTTTTTCTTTGAGAAATAAATTCTTTAAGCTCTTCTGGGGCCCTTGGCCAAGGTCTCTTGAGCTCTTATTGGATTTATTTTTCATAGTTTTTTTTTCCCAAATATAAGTTTTTTAAATCCGTCACTCTTCCCGCTCCGCAGTGCGCCAATTTGTATGAACGAACGCCTCCCGCCAGTTTTCAAAACACAATGTAGGGTCCCACTTTTGTAGACGATCACAGCCAAGGCCAAATTTCAAATTTTAGCGGGCTTTTTCAAATTTTGTTCAATGTCAAAAAAAAAGGCGGGAGGTTTGGGTTATTACAATGTTAAATTATGCGATGATCCAAGTGATTGGTTACAAGTACTTTATCGGAACAATCTCTGACGGTTAAGCTTGTATTGCAACCAGTTAATGATTAACATCCTAACATGAACTGTGAATTTACAAACAATGAATCACGTGTTAGCGTCGGTCGAAAATTCGCATGTTTCCAATTAGAAAGCCGCAAGAATTAGCGCCGCGCGTTGGGAACACTGTGGCGTCGTCGTCGTTACGATTAATTTTCGTTAAACAAAGGCTTT